TAGTAGTAGTAGTAGCAGCAATAGTAGTAGTAGTAGTAGTCCTAGTAGTAGCAGCAATAGTAGTAGTAGTAGTAGTAGTAGTAGTAGTAGCAGCAATAGTAGTAGTAGTGGTAGTAGTAGCCGTAGTAATAGTAGTAGTAGTAGTAGTAATAGTAGTAGTGGTAGTAGTAGCAGTAGTAGTAGTAGCAGTAGTAGTAGTAGTAGTAGTAGTAGTAGTAGTAGTAGTAGTAGTAGTAGTAGTAGTAGTAGTGAGAACAATAATAATAATAACACAATACAAACTGCATTAACCATAGGAAAAGTATAATACAACGACGATGATGACATGACAGTTGTGTCGTTGTCAAAAAGAAACATAAAATAACATCATGCACGTACACCCTCAACAACAACAACAACAACAACATAGACAACACAACAACAACAACAACAAAGACAGCACAACAACAACAACAAAGACAGCACAACAACAACAACACAGACAACACAACAACAACAAAGACGCTACAACAAAAACAACAACAAAGACAGCACAACAACAACAACAAAGACAGCACAACAACAACAACACAGACAACACAACAACAACAAAGACAACGCGGTAAAATGATAAAAAAAACTCAGCAAAATGATAAACAACAACAGCATAGACAACATAAACAACAAAGACAAAAGACAAAAACGTCCACATAAACCAAATTAAATCCAACCGACTACATTAAACATAACAAACACATCAAGATATAGTACTAATACTACTGCTGCTGCTGCTGCTACTACTGCAGCTACTACTTCTAATGTTGCCACTACCACTACTGCTCCTTTGACTACTACTACAGCAGCAAACCCAGCCACACTACTACATTTACTAAGGCTACTAAAACTACTACTGCTGCAGCTACTATGACTAGTACTACAACCCACAACAACAACAACAACAACGACAACGACAACGACAACAACAACAGCAACAACATTACACAATGTTTATAAGTAAATCGCATTAAGTATGTCTGGAGCGCTCATAATAAAACACATTATGTAGATAGGTCAGTCACGACGGTGGCTATGATGATGATGATGGTGGTGGTGATGATGATGATGATGATGATGACGGTGGTGGTGGTGATGATGATGTTGAGAGCTAAGAAAAAATACAAAAAATTCTAATAAACAATTGATGATAATACTTAAAATCACGGAAATACCAACGAGAATGTATCTTGGAATTTTTTGATGGCTGGAAGTCAGTAACGAATAAATATAGGAACCTTCAAGCCACTGAGTGACACATCTAAATCTGGATGGCACTGATGATGATGACGAAGTTATTATTATTATTATTATTTATCTATTTATTTATTTTTATTGTTAGTAATGGTAGTAAAATAATTTTCCTCTGAAAATTTGATTCAAAATTTAACTGATTCAAACAATTTTAACGTGATATTTTAATGAGTTTCTCACTGGAATCTAAAAATTCTTTTTTATCATCATCATCGTCGTCATCTCTGACGTCACTATCTATGATATCACTCTCCCTATTATCGCTACCATCACCACGGCCATCATCATTGGCTATGACGTCACGATTCATCACGTGGTTTTGACATTTATTCGGCTGAAGATTCAGGATGACGTCATCGTCGCCGTCGTCATGATCGTCTTTGAGACATTGGAAATCTATGTGGGCTTGTTGTTTGCCGCAGGAAGTCTGAACATGGTGACGATGATGATGGCGATGATATGATGATGATAATGACGATGATTGTGACGATGATGAAGACGATGATGATGATGAAGATGATTGCGATGATGATGTGATGATGATGATAATGATGAAGATGACGATGATGATACTGAAGACGACGACGATGATGATGACGATTGTGATGATGATGACGATTGTGATGATGATGACGTTTAGAGTAGTAAAAACCGGTATCAAGAATATTAGCAGCACTGACAAAAGAGCTAAAATTAAATAATAATCACAATAATTATATGAAACCAAAAAATAAAAATATCAATTAGTTAAATCATAAAAAGAGCCAAAAATAAAATTTCAATTAGAATTCGGCGGTTAAATTTAAAAATGGCGGGAAAAAATTTGTTTGGTTACTAGTTGGGAGTTCGGTAGACTCATTACCGCAAAACTTCCTACAATGTACGGGCATTTTTTTCGATGTTGTTGTTGTTTTCGTTGTTGTTGATGTTGATTTTGTTGGTGATGATGTTGATGTTGTTGTTGGTGATATTGTAGTTGATGTTGTTGTTGTTGATGTTGGTACTGATGTTGTTGTTCTTTAGTTGAATGATGTCGCAAGCGTTTGTTGAAATTATTAAGTTGTTGTTGTTGATGTTGTTGTTGACGTTGTTGTTGTTGTTGATGATGTTGTTTTTGATGCTGTTGATACTGTTCATTGAATTTTAAACTTCGGTTTCGCTTCAACTTACCCTTACCCATGAAATGGTCATAATCTGTAGTTAGAATTTTTAAAATATTTCTCTTTCATAATCTGCCATAATCATCACCACAGACACCGCAACTTCATCATCATCACCATCATCACCATCCTTATCATCATCATCATCATGACCATCACTATCATCGTCATCATCATCATCACCTCATAAGTCGGTAATAACAGCAACAAAAATGTCATAAACTAGTTTTTACTATCAGTACTTCTACTGCTGCTAATGCTACTACTACTATTACTACTACCACCACTACTACTACTACTACTGTTGCCACTGATGCTACTTCTACAGCTAGTACTACATAAACAAACTGGAAAATATTTGCCACAATTTTATCACATAAGTTGAAATATCTAAACGTAAAATTACCACTACCACTACTGCTGCTGCTGCTACTACTACGGCTACAACTATCGTTATTACTGTTTCTACTATTGCTAGGGCTTCTACTACTCGAGTTAAAAAAAAAACCACATCATCAAAATTTCATCTACTTGAAATAATGAAACTGCGGGTACGAACACATTATTGTCATTTACAATTTTTATTGAAAATCATGCCGAATTAAAATATATCGAAATTATAATTTTTGTATTTGTTTCTCTTTCGTCCCTCATTATCTCTCTCTCACTCTCTCTTTCTCTTTCTTTCTCTCTTTTTCACTCCCTTTCTTTCCTTTCACTGAAGACACGGGCAGCGAAAAAATCCAGCAAAGCAATTGAAAGAGGCTTAGTAGGTATGTAAGTGTGTGTGTATGTATGTGTGTATGTATGTATGTTTGTATGTATGTATGTATGTATGTATGTATGTATGTATGTATGTATGTATGTATGTATGTATGTATGTATGTATGTATGTATGTATGTATGTATGTATGTATGTATGTATGTATGTATGTATGTATGTATGTATGTATGTATGTATGTATGTATGTATGTATGTATGTATGTATGTATGTATGTATGTATGTATGTATGAATGTGTGAGTGTTTATTGTTGTTTGGTCTCGAATTTCAGGATTTCTGGTTTCAAGTGTTGCTTGTTAGGGTGGATTGAGGATGGATGGTTTTGTATACTTTTCATCTATTTGTATGTGTTGTATTTTTTGTATGTTTTTTGTTTCAGTTTTTGTAATTGTTTGTATGTCAATTTGTTGTTTGTATGTTTGTTTGTTTGTACGTACGTATGTATTTATGTATGTTTGAACATGTGTGTGTATGTATGTGTATGTGTGTGTGTTGTGTGTTGTGTGTGTGTATGTGTGTAAGTGTGTATAATGAACAGGCATTTTTAGAAAACAATTTTACTTTTAGTCTTTCCGGTTTGTGAAATTTCAGATTTTTCCACTTCCGATAATGACGAAGAAAAGAAAAAAAAATAATAACAATAAAAGATAAACAATGAAATAATACAAAAAAAAATTTAAATAAATATTAGCAAACAAACATATAAACAAACAAACAAACAAATACAACAGCACACTCCGCCCCAGAAACTCAACTAACCGAAACGATTTGAATAATATGAATGAATAAAAAGTTGAAACAAAACAAAAAATGCAAACTAAAAACACAAATGAATACAAAATTATACAATACAAATTGAAATAGTTGTGCAGAACACGCGAGTAAACAAACACAGATGTATACAAAACATTTTCAACGCGAAACATTAACAAGCATGATTTAAGTTTGTATACATATAAAAATACAAAATGATAAAAAGACACGATAGAAAAATACAAAATGATACAGAAACATAATACAAAAAATAAAAAATGATACAAAAACATAATACAAAATGATACAAAAACATAATATATAAAATACAAGGAAATACAAAACAAAAGCATTCGTTCACAATGGCAATTGACGACATCAATGAACGTTTCTGCAAGGAAGTTATTTTGCTTCATTATTTTTCTCCCTCCAACAATTGTTGAGGATCAGTATCAGGAGAACGACATTTATTATTGTTATTATTATTATTTTCATTAATTGTTTTGTCGTACTGTTATTTTATTATTTTTACATCATGATCTTCATCATCACCATCATCGTCTTCGCGATCTTCATCACCATTACCGTAATTAATAAAAACATCGTCGTCTTCGTCATCATCACCATTGTCATCATCGTCGTCATCATCATCATCACAATCGTCATCATCATCACTCTCCTCATTATCACCATCATCATCGTCATCGTCTTCATCGTCAGACTTGTCAAGGCTAGGAAAAATTAAGCAACTATTTTCACTGCTAATTAATGAAAAGTGTTCTTACAAACAGGCGTTGCTATAAATCTCTCTCTCTCTCTCTCTCTCTCTCTCTCTCTCTCTCTCTCTTTGACTGCAAAGAT